ACGAAACTGGAAGCTTGTTTTTTTTTTTTTGAAGATTTTATTTATTTATTTGTCAGAGAGAGAGAGGGACGGAGAGAGCACAAGCAGGCAGAGTGGCAGGCAGAAGCAGAGAGAGAAGCAGGATCCCTGGTGAGCAAGGAGCCTGATGTGGGACTCGATCCCAGGACCCGGGGATCATGACCTGAGCCAAAGGCAGCAGCTTAACCTACTGAGCCTCCCAGGCATCCCTAGAAGCTTGTTCTTTGAAAGAATTACTAAGATCAATAAACCACTGACCAGATTTATGCAAAAGAAAAGAGAAAGGACCCAAATTAATAAAATTATGAATGAAAGACCAATGGAACAGAGTAGAGAGCCCAGATGGACCCTCAACTCTCTGGTCAAAAATCTTCAACAAAGCAGGAAAAAATATCCAGTGGAAAAAAGACAGTCTCTTCGATAAATGGTGTTGGGAAAATTGGACAGCTAGGTATAGAAGAATGAAACTCAACCATTCTCTTACATCATACACAAAGATACACTCAAAATGGATGAAAGACCTCAATGTGAGACAGGAATCCATCCAAATCCTAGAGGAGAGCATGGGCAGTAACCCCTTCGACATTGGCCACAGCAACTTCTTTCAGGATAGGTCTCCAAAGGCAAAGGAAACAAAAGTGAAATGAACTTTTGGGACTTCATCAAGATCAAAAGCTTCTGCAGAGCAAAGGAAACAGTCAACAAAACAAAGAGGCAACCCACAGAATGAGAGAAGCTATTCACAAATGACGCTAGGGCTGATATCCAAGATCCATAAAGAACTCCTCAAACTCAACACCCAAAAAACTGATAATCATGTCAAAAAATGGGCAGAAGACATGAACAGACTCTTCTCCAAAGAAGACATACAAATGGCTAACAGACACATGAAAAATGTTCAACATTATTAGCCATAAGGGAAATTCAAATCACCAGTTGGAATGGCAAAAATTGACAAGAAACAACAAACATTGTAGAGGTTGTGGAGAAAGGGGAACCCTCTTATACTGTTGGTGGTAATGCAAGTTGGTACAGCCACTTTGGAAAATGGTGTGAAGGTTCCTCAAGATGTTAAAAATAGATCTACCCTATGACCCAGCAATTGCACTACTGGTATTCACCCCAAAGATAGAGATGTAGTAAAAAGAAGGGCCATATGCACCCAATGTTCATAGTAGCAATGTCCACAATATCCTACCTGTGGAAGGAACTGAGATGCTCTTCAACAGATGAATGGATAACGATGATGTGGTCCATATATACAATGGAATATTACTCAGCCATCAGAAAGGTTGAGTACCCACCATTTGCGTCAACATGGATGGAACTGGAGAAGATTATCCTAAGAGAAATAAGTCAGAGAAAGAGAATTATGATATGGTTTCACTTATTTGTTGAACATAAGGAAACATGGAGGACATTAGGAGAAGGAAGGGGAAAATGGAAGGGGGGAAATCAGAGGGGGAGAGGAACCATGAGAGACTATGGATTCCAGGAATCAAACTGAGAGTTTTAGAGGGGTTGAGGGTGCTGGAATGCGTTAGTCCGGTGATGGGTATTAAGGAGGGCATGTATTACATGGAGCACTGGGTGTTAGACACAAACAATGAATCATGGAACACTACATCAAAAACTAATGATGTACTGTATGGTGACTAAATAATAAAAAAACTATTAAAAAATAATACCTGTGGTATATTACACATATTAAATTAGGAATAACACTAATTTTGTTTCTCACTGAAATTGTTCAGAATGTCTGTCATAAAGCATCTGGAAGACATTTTTGTTTACAAGATGTCAACTTTTATATGCTGATAAAATGTTTACAGACTTTGCCCCCACCTTTGTTCTTCCCTCAAGGATGTTCCAGTCTTTATGAATGTTACATGTTGGTTTTTGTCTTGTCTTCTCATGTTGCCCACCCCACCCATACCTACCTCTGTTCTTTGTTTCATGGGCCCCATGTCCCTTCTCCTAGGTCTCACCATTCTCCTTGGGGCAGACACAGAGCAATGTGAGTGCTAGAATGTTTAAGAAACCAATCAACCAGCCAACCTTTCGTGTAACCCCCTCAGATATGTTGAACATCTCTTCTTGAGTCCTGTTAGGACTCCTATTAGGTAGGAGTTTTGGACTCACGATAACTTTATGCTAAAGTTCCACAGGCCTCCTTCCCCTGCCCACGGTTTTAAACACCATTCACACTCAAACTGCCATTTTCCATTTCCAAGACTTCATGGCAGCGACTTGCATTCATGTTCTACCATCTGCCTAACCTTCTCTTTCCATTATAAATATACACTTCTTTTTCCAGTTAGCTTCAACAAGAGTGACTTGTGAGCTATAAATACCACATCTAAACTTCTCTAGTTCCGATTATAATTCAGTTCTAGTCTAGTCTCAGTGGTAGTAAGCCAAATGTTTATGGCCTTGATTCTCTTATCTGTATCAGTTCCCATTAATCATAACCCTATGCACATAAATGTTTAAAAATAAAAATTTGGATAAATGAAAGAAGTGTCAGTTTGCCTGTTGCAAAACTGATTGACCTGCTCTCCCCATTTAATGGCAGGGCTAGCTAATATAGGTTAGAGTTGAATTATGAGGGGCAAAGCTGGAAGAAATCAGGCTGGATAGAGTAGTGAGCCATCACAGTGTGAGCGGGAAGAAACCAATAAAAGCACAATACCCAGCTTGTGGCTGCAAAGCCAAGAGTTTTAATTTAAAATAGGGATCAGTTCAGAGTGAAGACAGTGATAAGCAATGATGGGGTGCTGAGGTCTTAGGTGACCAGGGATATACAGCTAAGGGTGATTTATTAGCATTACCTTTGCCAAGTTTCATATTGGGTTGTGTTGGTGACCCCCAGGGTAGGCAAATAATGTACCAAAATTGCTTAGGGGACCCAGTTGTGAGATAGGACAGTGGTATTGACTCCCCATCCTCAACTCTGAGCGTCTGTGTTGCACAACTTCTTCGACGTTGTCCTGTCAACGAGTAGTGCTTGTGGGAATTATTTATTGTGAAATCTGATGCTATAAAAGTAAGGAGATTTTGTGCCTGGCTGACTCTTTGGGCAAAAGGAATAATTCTTAACATTTCTAATAGGATTCACTGGTGATCTTAGCTGTGCTAAAAGATAAGCAAGCATGTAAGTGGCCAGCATGGGGAGAGTATAACTAAGTATGGTTATATAATATAAACAGGCATGTGGTGATGAGATTTGTGTCTAGGCATATATTATCAGGCATAAATTCATAGTGTTTATTTAATTTTCCATTTAAACTACTAATGAAGTACTCTATAATGTAGGATGCTAAAACTGTGTCAAATTAGTGCAAATTCTATACTGCTTGAAAGAAAATACTGTAATTATTGAACAGTAGAAATGTAATTGTTTATAGTCCTTAAGCATCACTGCAATTAAGGCATCACATTTGTTATGCTTTCTTTAGAATCTGTGGTTAGTGATTTTTTAATCCTTTTGTTAACTCTTCATTTCCTGGGTTACTACACTTTTTTTTGGTAATGCCCTTGATAGTCCAAAAGGTCTAGTATTCAAAAAGCTCTGTAGCGTCATAGTCTGTTGGTATATGACTCAGGATTCAAGACTAAACATAAGTACATGTGATTTTGACTTTCATTTCATTTGCTTATCCATAGCTGGTATAAGTGCTGATGTGATGTGCTATCCAAAAGAGGTAGCAAAAGAAGGAAGGAGACCCATGGGTAGATAAATATGTCAAGATTGGTATACATAACTATTGGAAGCCTTCAAAGATTTGGGTCTTGTTTAAAGGCAATTAAATGCCATTAAAATTCCATTGCTGGAAAAAATTGCCTTTACTGGAAATTATTCTATTTTTTACTAAAACTTAGGGAAACTTTAACGATATATTTTCATATCAGCTGATAGCCAGCTTTTCTAGTCAATCCCTAGAAACACATAAGCATAATGCTCTAGGGTTTGTTTTTTTTCCCCATCCTCTGCTAATTAGATTACATCATTGAACCAATTTTTCCTTAATACCCACCTAAAAATTCTTAATATTTTTATAAGGACTGCATATTGATTATGGACACCTGCTTTCTAAATCAACTTCCTTCTACATTCCACAAGACGACTTTAAGAATAAAATACACAGAGAGTCCTAGGTGGTATTATTTACTTGTCCTAGAGTCAAAAGTTGAATGTTTTGGGGCACCTGGGTGGCTTAGTGGGTTAAGCCTCTGCCTTCGGCTCAGGTCATGGTCTCAGGATCCTGGGATCGAGCCCCACATCAGGAATCTCTGCTCAGCAGGGAGCCTGCTTCCCCCTGCCCCTCTGCCTGCCTCTCTGCCTACTTGTGATCTCTCTTTCTGTCAAATAAATAAATAAAATTTTAAAAAATAGTTGAATGTTTTATACTGTGCAAATTTGGTAATGGCCAATGTTACCATATATAAGCAATAACATGGTAAGTTTCTTCAGACAGTGTGGTCAATAGGTTACCATGCTGAGCTTGAGCTCTGCATCTTTAGTGTCAGAGATATTTATGATTCTAAGCAGCACCAGGCATGGCTATTAAAGGTAAAAGAAACAGCAGGGGCATGGTTCCAATTGCTTAGTAAACAGTTGTAGGAAGATGTTTATTAAAGCTGGCTCTCAAATGACAGATAAATGCATATTTCTGTTATGCATGCTAAATTCAGCATGCTGCAAGCTTAAAAGCAGATCAAAACAGATATTTTAAAAATCATAGAGACAAAATACAGCTATGTCAGTATATGACAGAAAAATAATTTTGCCTTAAAATGATCTCCCCTTAACCACTCATGAACATGTAATCACAATTTATGGAACAAAATTAAAAGCACATTGGGTGTATTCCATTTTTTAACTCATTTGGCATCAAGTTAAAAAAAATTAAGTGAGCCAGTTAAACTAAGATACAAGTGAATCCCTTTATTACAAACAAAAAACTACATCACATAATTACTGATATATAATTTGTATTTATTAATGTATGATGTTTAATTCTTAAAAAAAAAAAGCAAAAAAATGCACACACAAAACAAGCTACTGAATAGATTGTTTCATGCACATCTTTTTCTACCTCACAAGGTTCTGCTGCATGATTTTTAGAGGAGTTCCCTTATTCAGGGTTGGCATATGTTTTTCAATTTTCATTTTCCAGAGCCGTATTTACAGAAAGATGTACAAATATTGTAGATAGTAGGCTGTACAACCCTCACATGATTAAAACTTCAGTTCCTTGGTTTTCTAGTGGTTTGTGTAAATGCCAATAAATTTGAGAGTTCACCCAACTGTGCCTCTTAACCTTTGTTCTCATAGGTGAAGGGCAGGATTTTTAATCAAGTAGCAATTTATCTTTAATTAGGAAAACATAATTAGGTATTATCATCTAATTGCAATTACTGGTTGGAGAAAGCCACATTTCACAAGTAGTGACCCATGCTGGATTATCATTCTCCTAGTACTGAATTTTGAATCACTATTTGTATTTGGCAGATAGCCAAAACAAATTCAAAGGTAATCACCAGGCCTCTGTGCAATCCCACTGTCAAAGTCACAAACTCCACTGTTGAATAGGAAACAAGAGATACTTCCTAAGCCACATCTTGGCTATATCTGTTTCCTGCTAAGACATCAAGTGTAGATCAAAATAATTGTATACAAAAAACCCCATGTGAAGTAGGTTCGAGGACTGTTCCACACTTCGGTTCTGGTACAGTTAAAAACAGTTTAATGTCTCAAGGCACCACTATGGTTGAACATCAGATACACGGGTAATCAGCTAATCTTCTACTATGCTGTAAAGTCAGTAAATAGCTTGTGCAATTGTGAAAAGCAATCTCTAGAGGACTGTTAGATATACGTAGGCACGTGTATTATAATACAAATAGAAAACAATGAGTCCTAGAAAAAGCATGTTGAGCACCGTTGTGGCATTGTTTGTGTTTCTTCACCTAACACTACGTAAACTTTACATTTACAAAAGGAAAGACTAACTTTTTTAAAGTTACACTCAAGGTTGCTTTTTGTGCTATTTCCAAGTAAGTGAAATCTAGTTCGTAGGTGTACTTTTCGAAGTCGTTGGGTCTGGATCAGCTTCTGTCGCACTGGTAGATTCATTCAAGTGCGAGCTTAAGTTTTCTGACGTGAGCTGGGAAGACTTGTACACAATCTCGTTGAAGTCGGACCTGATGCAGACCAAGGGAGGGTCATTCAGTGGGTCTTCCACTGAGGCCTGTGTGTTTTCTCGAGTGAATCCCATGTCCTTGCTATGTTCTGACGGTGATTTTCTTTTCATGCGAGTGTAAGTCTTGTCTTGATTCTCCATGCCTTGCTCATTTTTCAAAAACCGTCCAAAGAACCAAATGAAGAATCCAAACCACACAAAAGCTATCAAACTTGGAACAAAAGCTAGACACTTGACATCAAGGCTAGCCCCTATGAACCTGCTGTGTAAGAACATATCTCCCTCAACATATGTTTTATTAGTCTGAGGGTTAGTGTGATTGGACCTCCATTCCCACGAAAGTTTGGTTCTGTTCAAATCCTTTAAACTTTCTGAGTCTTTCACTGTATATATCTTCTGCCCTGGGCCAATGTACTGTCCATATTCGTGAGGCTTATAAAATATCTGATTCTTCCACATATTAAGATCCAAAATCAAGACAAGAAAGATAATTCCATAGTTAAACCATTTACCTGCATTAAAAAAAAAAAAGAAATACTTCATATTAGTCAAAGACCTATAAAATTGCAATAGGGCTTTCTCCAATAAAATGGAGACAATGACGTATAAGTATAAATTGTTAACGTTTTAGGCCTGTTAGCAATTTTTCAAGATGGCTATGCTGCCATTAAGTGAATTGGCAAAAGATATTTCCTGATTGTATTCTAGACACATGAAAATGTGACTGTGGGTCCCAGAGTCAATAATTTATGCTACTTACACTAACCAGATTAAACCTCCTTGTTTGATAGGCACCACAGCTGTACTCAAATTTGATTCCATATAGGTTATTCTCTAGAACATTTCAGTTAATGTTTACAAACAAAGTTCTAATGACATTCATAGAAAAGTCTAACATATGATTGAACATCTCTTACAGTTTTATAATTCTGTGTAGGCAAGAAATAAATCATTTTACAGTGCAAACACTGCAAGTATATCAAATGAATTCACATTGCTGTTTGTAGGTGACCTGTTGATTAAACCATTAGTTGATGTGATTCAGATCAATAATTCTTGAGCATTCAAGACTTTAAAATAATTGCATTAAATTCTCATTGAACAGAATCCATTTATCAGACATATAAATACAACCAAAGCTGACAAACTGCTTTAGAAGACAGGATTTGGAGAGGTTGTTAAACTACTACAATTTCTTTGTAGTATTTAAAATTTTCATACAAGTAAGACATTGTTTAGAGACATATTATCTAATGATAATGAATTTAAAAATAAATTTACATCTGCAAATGAAAAGACTATGGGGAAACTTTCAAGGGATACTAGATTCCATCATAATTTTTATTATAAACACAATTTATTGCAAACTTTACAGTATCAAGTGTATCATAACATAGTAGTACTCACCTCACAGGTTTGCTATAGCAAATTAGGTGATACATATAAAGGGTTCTAAAAGCTTAGTTATAAATGTTATATATATATACATACATAAATGTATATATATACACATATATATACATACATAAATGTATATATATACATATATATACATACATAAATGTATATATATATACATATATACATACATAAATGTATATATATATATATACATATATATATATAAAACATCAAATTAATTTTATTTTGTATTTGAAGATAAAATATCAAATGAGAGAGAGAGAATCTTGGGCAAACTTATTAAACCAAGAATGGTAAAAATGAATTTTGCAATATGTATTCTAACAATGTATAGCTATATAAAAATATAACTTTGTGAAGAGTTTAGGAAAGTGTTTTATCATCATTTTTACATATTTACATTGCTACTATATACAAAACTGAAGAGTTTTAATCCTGGCTCCAAAATTTACTAGCTTTGTGATCTTGGGCTAGTTGTTTAAATTTCCTAAACCTCAGTTTATTTATATGCAGAAAATATTATACTTATTAAAGCTACTAGTGTTAGTATTTCATAAGATCATTAGATGCTAAACAGAGTGCCTGGTACATAAAAGAAACCCAGTAATTGTTACTATTATTAACATCAAAGCCTTGCCTAAGCCATGATAATGCATTTGCTTGGGAAGGTACAATTCTTCTCCATCCGGAGAATTTATGTAAACTCACTGACTGGAAATTATAACTCTGCCTGTCCTGAAATTTCAACCCTACAATTGTTACAGTCTTTGTAGTGGAAACTCTTGCTGGAATGATTTATTTCACATATCCCTCTAGAAGGTAAGTTGAAACACTGGGAATGTTGTTTCTATATATGATAAACTATAACATCTGGCACTGTTAAGTTCTAACCACTCCTGCTCTCCTGGAGTCATATCCAAAACTACAACAGATTCTTACTAAGCATCAACCATAAAAGAAGTAAAGAATGCTCAAGCCAGAGAAATTCAGTCAAACATAAAGGAGAACATCATTATTGAACATTTATTGTGCTTGTACTAGTCTCTGTTGTGGGATGCCTTAGTAGCTGCTGAGCACAGACCATTCTGCCTTCCAGGGAAGAACTCACAGTCTTGTTGGGGAAACAGAACAGCGGCATCAACGGATAAATAATAAAAAGAGGCCACATTGGAGAGGTGCCAGGTGAGTGATATAAACTATAAACACCAAAGATGTTGGGGAAACGGAATAAAAACTGAGGGCCGTCGAAGTATCTGCAGAAAGAATTTTGGAGGGAGTAGCAATTCATGTGGTCCCTGAAAGAAAAGAAGGATAGAGAACAGTCTGGAAAATGGTGCATTTCTTTCAGACATAGCATAAAATAGCATGTGGGAAAAGATGAGGTGATATGAAAGGGGTGAAAGGAGAGAGAGAAAATAATGGAGAATATTGTAGGAAGAGAAAGCTGGAGAGGAACGAGAGACAAGTGAATTGAAAAAGTTCTGAGATTCTCATCCAGTATTAAGGAGGTAAGAGTTGGTAGCTTCCATGATGGAAAGCAACCTGAGAGAGGGGCTTCATTCAGGTGCTTCCCTGTTGCAGGAGATTCATACTTATCATCTTGCTATAAACTGCATGTGCTGTGAAGCCAGACTGTCCTTGAATCTGTATGACCGACCATTGCCTTCCTGACTCACAAAGGTCCCTCAGAGAAACCCGTACTCTCTAGGTCACTTTTATTAACTCATGAATAGGGCGGTCCCTCATAAAGTGGTCCCTGTATCTAGGGTAACAGGGTATCAGAAACCGTGATAAGCAGCATCACAGAATCAGGGAGAAGAAAGGAATGCTCAGTGAGCTTGGAGTAAGGTGCTGTTCTGGTGGGAACAGATGCTTAGAGAATGTTAACAGACAAGGAGAAAAAGAAAATCAGAGTATAAAAACTGCAGTGAATGTACACTGAATAAATTAAAAAGAAACCCTGAGGATAGGAGAACCTCTTCCTCAAACTTTATATATTATTTTCCTCCCACAAGTTGAATGGTGCTGAGTGAGTTTGACCACTACATGTTAACACTAAAGAGTCACTTTATGTTATTCTCACATGACCTGGAGTCTGGATATTTAGATGAGATGGAAGAAGAGCAAATTTAAAAAGTGTTGCTCGACATCAGTTATTGGGTATCTTCTCCCTTCTCTGACACATCTTTACCGATCTGGGAGAGGGAGAATCACAGTCACAAAAAACTGCAGACTAGAAATCAGCAGATGAATCTCATCCTGACACTCAAGTTAAATAATACAACTTTGAGTTACCTGTTCAACCTCTCCAGATCTCAATAGTTTTATTTTCAAATTGAGGAAACTGAACCAGATGACTTCTCATTCTATGATTCTGTCCTCTTCCCCCAAATCCTTATACCCCTATTAGCTATGTGAATTCAATTTTTTATGCAGTGAAATAGAGAATAATATCAACATAACTACCTCAAAGGATGATTGTGAGGATAAAATGAGAAGTTATATTCGAATAAGTTCTCTAAAATATATTAAGTTTGCCAAAAAAAGTATTATTTCTATAATTTATTTCTTCTGTGTCTTCAGTTAATATAGGATCTTGGTGATAGAGGGAGAGAAGAACATGTAAGGGTTTGGTTTTTTTTTTAATTGTTGTGTTAGTCACCATACGTTTAACAAAGATATATCCTAAAAGTGATCAAATGTCTCACTTTGGATAAAATAGCAGGAATCACTGAGCACTGACATCGCTGGGTAGATATAACTGAACCAGTTATCTAAGAGGACACAGCATGTAGTTACATGCAAACATGCTTTGTGAATCAGGACATTTAACACATTGAAAATTCTTAGCAGGGGTGCTTGGGTGGCTCAGTGAGTTGAGCCTCTGCTTTCAGCTCGGGTCGTGGCCTCAGGGTCCTGGGATTGAGCCTCGCATTGGGCTCTCTGCTCGGCTGGGAGCCTGCTTCCCCCTCTCTCTCTGCCTGCCTCTCTGCCTACTTGTGATCTCTCTCTGTCAAATAAATAGATAAAATCTTAAAAAAAAAAAAAAAAAGAAAATTCTTAGCAATTGGTAATTTGTCTACAACTTGCAGGAGAATGGTCCTGAGAATAGGTCATTTATTATATACATAGATTTTGAAGCTAAAGGACAGGTAATAGTGTCTCCAATAGTGTCCCCTCCACAGACAAGGCCATGTCGGGGTGGAAAGTGCAGAGGGGAGAGAACAGAGTGAGGCAGGTTCCTACTGACATCCTATTTCTTTTCTTCTGTGGATGTAGCACTGTCTACACCCCTCCCACCCCCTGTCAAAGCGAGTCAGCTGAAACCTGAAGCTGGTAAAATGTGGAAGAAATGGCTCTTCTTACTTTTTGATTGTTTCTAGCTTTCTAGCCCACATGACATAAACTGCTGGCCCGTTTATGCATTTGCACAGAGGAATGATGTTCCTCTTTAGCTAATATCCTTCCTTCTATTTTCCCACACCGTGTTCTGTTAATTTTGTAATGCTTTCTCCTCTTTAAAAAATTACTTTTGCCCTATGCGATGTGGCAAACCGGAAAGCGAAATCATGGGAGACAACTCAGTGTCACTGTTCTCGTTTATCAAGTGAGGGGTTTGAGCTATTGATCTTTCAGGTTTCTCCCCAGCCCTAAAAATCTCTTTGGTGAATCCAGTGAGATAAATATCACCTAAAGCTTAACGTTTTATGGTGGGCCAGGAAATCTCACCATTAGGGCAAAAAAGATGGAATACACAATTTTCATGCAGAGAAAGCTTTCCTTTAAGAATTGTATATTCTGAGAAACACTGTTTTCCATAAAAAATAATTTTGAGTCCCTGAAACAACCCACATGGAACGGATATCAGACACAAAAAGGAAAAGAACAGAAATGCTCTCTTGCCATTTCCCAAGTGTGTTGTTGTGAATGTACAATCAACCATAACAAGAGGTTTAGTATTTCAGCATTAATCACAGGAGAGATTTTGCATTTCCTCCTGTTGTTTCAACTACATAGCATAATGTAAATCAGCAAGAAGGGAGGGTAAGAATCCATACATTATTTCTATTAATCTCCCTGTTGAAATAGC